GCCTTAAAATGCAGCCTTTAAGGCTGCAGACCCTGAATTGGGATACAGCCAACGTGACTCTTCTGGTCCTTAATTATCTTCTTCTGGTAACTGGAAACAGTCATGTTCTACCTTCTTAGCAACAAGCACCCCATTGTCTACCACATTAAACGGTGGATTGGTTCTTATATAGGGCTCATCTAATGTATGCAACTTGCCTCATTCACACCAGCCCTTATTTCTGTTTTTTTCTACACAGTTTTTTCCTATCTAACATTCACACACATTCATGCTCCAACCGATGCATGGGTTAGTATCTTGCCCAACCAACCAGCAACCTTCCGATTAGCAGATGACCTATGCTAATTTCATAGCTACAGACACCTCTTGACATTAGTCCAAAATCGCCCACAGGTGTTCCGTTGGGACAAGATCTGGTGACTGTGATGGCTAAAGCATATAAGTTGCATTGCAATTTACAACTCAACTATTCTCAGTGAGCTCTTCCTCCCTAAAAATTGTCACAAAAATGTCACCCAACCACATAGTGATCGGGATGAAATGTGGATTTGTCACTGGCCAAGCAGGAGTAACTGATCAACATCTGGCGCATCTAATCATGCAGACAGATGGCAGGATTTGATTAAAATGAAGCAATAGGCTTTGATTGTTGATGGGGAAACTGAGGGGTGGTCAACCGAGATTCAGTTTTGGGAGGCGTAATCTGAGTCCCACCTCCTTTTGGGGTTTTCAAAGAGTCGTTTTTACTGTGTGTAATGTAGGAATGGGAATCAAGAACCAGTTCTTGTAGAGAACCAGTTCCCAGTAGTCCAGTTTCTTGGAATAGTTAATCTGCTTGTCTATCAATTCAGCTTATTGGTTCCACTTTCACTTGCGCTACAGTCAGTTGATTTAATTTTGTGTGTTCAGGAGGAAGATGGTGGTGCAGTCTGCAGCGTGAATATGGACATTGCTTTTAGGATGGGAGCGCAGTTAAGTGGAAACTGCATCCAGGACAGAAACAACAGCATTATGCAACAAACACAACTTATGCATATGCTAATGCTAGGCTAGCCAAGAACCCAGAGTAATGTTAAAGCTGAATAAACCCCAGCCCAGCAGCCAGACCCTGAATTTCAACAGTTAACAAACGGATGATCAGTCAGGCCAGAGTCTCTGTTTCTACCAGTTTGTGTTTCTACAGTAGAATCCCTGTGGCGATCGCTTTAAAGTATCTTTGTGCTGGTTTTAATCTTTCATTTGTGCTGCTGGTTTTGTGGTCATACCTAAATAGTAAGACAAAGATCATATGTGTGCCGTCATTAGTATTGGGATTTGTGTGGGTGTGTGGGACCGCAGCCTAAGATTTATAGTATTAAGAGTGTCTTTAAAGACATTTTACAGAGTAAAACAATAGTAATCGAACGAGTAGTATAATGAACTTTCTCCTGTGACTAATTAAGTAATATCCTCCATTACTTTTAATCACAGTTTTCTGTTTAATCTGTTAATACTTTTTTTGAGTAACGACCCCAACACTGATCACAAGAAAGAGCGAAAATGCCTCCAACATGAACAAACATTTTACCACAGAGCATGCAATGAATTTGCATGAATGCAATTTCTTTGTTGTGCTGCTTAGAGATAGTGGTGACTCTCAAAGTGGAGCCAGTGAGAACCCAATGAGAATCTACAAGGAATTGAATTGATAAGTGCTATTGATTCCCATCAATTCCCAGCCCGAGTGCAGTGTCATTAAATTCCATGTAGTTGGTTTGTAGTGTATAGATCCCTTTTTAGAGTGGTGTGTATTTTAAACTGTATAACTGGCATGGACATATTTGTCATTTCCCGGGAACTATAGCCCCCTCTCAGTCTCTGTTAGAAGTGGTGCAGACAGTCCTCAAGTCATGCATGGATCAGCTGGCTGGAGTGTTTACACACATCTTCAACCTTTCCTTCTCTCTGTCTGTCTGCAGTGCCAACCTGCTTCAAAACGGCCACCATGTACCCAAATCCTCCACCATCTCATCACTGAATGACTGGCGACCGGTAGCCCTGACGTGCGCCCCATCGTGAGCAAATCTTTTGAGAGGCTGGTCAGGGACTTCATCTGCTCTGCACTACCCAACTCACTGGACTCTCTACAATTTGCATACCGCCACAACAGGTTCACTGATGATGCCCTGACACTACATATACTGCCCTCTCGCACCTGGAGAAAAGACACATGTATGTGAGAATACTGTTTGTAGATTACAGCTCAATATTCAATACCATTGTTCCCTTGAAGCTAGACAGAAAACTGCAGGATCTAGGACTGAGCAGCTCTCTCTGCAGCTGGATCCCTAACTTCCTGTCTGACAGATGCCAAGTGGTCAGACTGGGCAGCATTACCTCATTCCCCGTCATAATAAGCACTAGTGCTCCACAGGGGTGTGTACTGAGCCCTCTCCTGTGCTCACTATACACCTACAACTGCACCGCCACAAGCAACTCCAACATCATTGTGAAGTTTGTGTCGTCCGCAAACTTCACAATGATGGTCTTATGATGGTCACCTTTGGTCTTATCAACTTGGTGATAAGACCACCACTGTTGTGTCGTCCTCCCTGTAAGCCGTCTTATCACCTTTGGTGATAAGACGGCTTACAGGGAGGAGGTCAGCGCCCTAACAGACTGGTGCCAAGAGAACCATCCTACCCTCAACATCACAAAGACAAAGGAGTTGATAGTAGACCTCTGAAGATGTAGAGAAGCACACACCCCCATCACCATCAACGACGCTGCTGTGGAGAGAGTGAGCAGCTTCTGTTTCCTAGGTGTACATCTGGCAGAGGATTTCACATGGTCTGTTCACACAAACAAAACAGTGAAGAAGGCGCAGCAGGCCTCTTCTGTCTCAGGAGACGGAAGAGATTCAGCATGAGCCCCCACATTGGCAGGACCTTCTACCACTGTGCCATTGTGCCATTGAGCTTCCCTCCCTTCATGAAGTCTACAAGAAGTGGTGCCTGAGGAAAGCGGGAAGGATCATTAAAGACTCCAGTCACCCCAGCCATAAACTGTTCAAACTACTTCCATCAGGCAGAAGGTACTGCAGTATCCGGTCCCAAACCAGCAGACTGAGGAACATCTTTTTCCATCAGGTCAACAGACGGCTGAACACTTCATAAACACCTCACTTTCTCTTACCAGACATTTATGCACTCCATATTGTACATGTATGCCATTCCTTTTGCACAATAAGTTTCTTGGATTTTGCACCCCACTGTTGCTTGTGAAGCTTGCACACAAGAATTTCACTCACATGTGCTGCAGTAATGTGATGTGACAATAAAAGTGATTTGATTTGAGAAGTCCTCATTTTAAAGTCTGGGTTGTAAACAGGACTGGACTGGGACAAAAAATCAGCCCGGGCATTTTGACTAGAGAACGGCCCACCAGGTATTATAGGAAAAGCCATAAAGCCTTTGAATGAAAACAA